TGATTTTCAAATGCTTTTTCCCAACTTCTGGGGAGAAGGGAAGAGGTAACAAATCAACTGCTTTTGAAAGGGAAGGGACAAACTCATCTTAGTCAAAAGAACTATTACTAAATCTTTGAATCATGGTGAATTATTTATATAAACTTGTGCTCTTGGAATCAAGTAACATCACTGTCTAGAGCGGAGCATATCATACATTACGGTCACTACAGTCTAACTTTAGTAATAAGCTCTATGCCGGCAATACCTCCTTGCCTCCAAACCAACAGGCTGAATATGAGCATACAGGTCTGTAGTGAGCTCAGCATGAACATAATTGGAAATATGAATGATGCAGGCTTCTTCATATAGCTCTGTGAGCCCACCACAGTCTTTTTTTTTTTCTTTTTACATTATTTTTTCTTTTAGCTGTTTATTTCTATAGCAATCTTCAATTAATATAAGTCCTTAGAACCTCCCATGGAGGACTTGACAGTGCTAATGGAAATGTGTATGGGTATGTCCACACTGCAATGTTTTGTCAATTAAACTAATGTCAACACACAAAAAACTGGCAAAAGTGAAGTCACAAAAAGGTGTTCACACATGTTCCCTCTGTTGACAAATCATCCATATTGGTAGATCCCACGTTGACTGTGTGAGCAATGCACTGTGGGTATATATCCCAGCGTGCTTAGCAACAGCATCTGTAGCTAGGCATTGTGAGAATGCAGAATGGAGCACTGTGCATCTTGGAACCATGCTAAATGTCCCATCAGGCACTGTTTGGTGTCTCAGCTCTTCAGTGGTTTCCCACTTCCTTTTGCACCATTTTTCCAATTGCCAATCTTCAAGTGGAAGAGAAAACCACCAACTCATTCCTCTTATTCCTCTCACATGTGTGCATGACAAGCAGTGGCTGGAGCTGCTGCTGAGCCCCATCTCCATGCAGGGTTTCCCGTCTTAGTGTACAATTAGGTTCTTCTGGCGGCAGTGGCTACTGGTCTGGGCACGTTATTGTAATGTGCTGTGCTTCTGCTAAGTTGCTCCTAAAAGCAGAAAGTGCCTCGTGTTAGCCTGGGGAGGACAGAGCTGGGGGGGTTTAGGGGAGGTGGTGGGAAAGGGGGAAGGAAGACAGCAGCCCAGGGAGGAGAAAGCGAACTCCTGGGCACTACATTTCTTCCCCTTTTCCCCTGCCTGCCCCACAAGCGGGTCGACAGAATTGCTGTGTCCCTGGGCAAGGTGTGGGAGGCCGACTCCATACTCCTGGAAGGGGTGGGGCCTCAGCAGAAAGTGGAGGGCCAGGGGCAGCCAGCCCTCAGTGCCACCCAAACTGTGTTGCCCCGGGGCTTGAGCTGCCACAGTAGTAACAACAGTGGCCAGTAGCCCAAGCAACTTTTGACTAGCCAGACCCAGGGGCAGTTGCCACCTTTGCCCCCCATTGGTGGGCTTGCTGCTCCAGCTCCTTGCAAGGTAGAGCAGAAGGCGCAGGAAGGCAG